AATACACCACTGCCTGATCATGATGTAGACCCAGATCACCAACCAGTCCCTTCAACCATATTCCCTCCTTAGCAGCTTCTGTCAACGCCATATACTCTGCCTCAGTAGTAGATCCTGTCACCGCCGACTGCAAAGTTGCCTTCCAGCTCACTACAGAACTCCCAAGATTGAATACATAACCGGTCATCGATCTCCTCGTGTCAACATCTCCAGCATAGTCCGAGTCAGAATACCCAGACACCAAGCACTCTGTATCACTTCCGAAGCTAATCCCCACATCAGGTGTACCCTTAAGGTACCGGAAGATCCTCTTCACAGCCTGCCAATGCTCCTTCCCAGGTTGTATCATAAACCTGCTGACAACACTAACAACATGTGCAAGATCAGGTCTAGTGCATACCATAGCGTACATCAAGCTACCTACTGCACTAGCATATGGGACTCTCGACATGTACTCCTTCTCAGCCTCTAACTGCGGTGCATAAGCTGAGGATAGATGAACATTTGAAGCACTAGGAGTATTTAAGGGCTTTGTTGAAGACATGCCAAACCTCGACAGTATCTTCTGGATGTAGCTCTTCTGTGACAAGAAAAGCTTCTTCTTCGACCTGTCCCTGTAAATCTCCATACCCAAGATCTTCTGAGCAGCTCCCAAATCCTTCATCTCAAACTCAGCACTGAGAAGCCCCTTTAACTTCTGGATATCAGACTTTGACCTCGCAGCTATGAGCATATCATCCACATACAGAACTAGATATATCATCGAACCATCCTCTGCCTTGCTGTGATATACACAACAATCATATGGACTTCTGCTGTAGCCCAGCTCAAGCATGTAACTGTCAAATCTCTTGTACCACTGCCTCGGAGATTGCTTAAGTCCATACAAGGACTTCTTCAACTTACAAACATAGTCTTCTTTTCCCGGAACCTCGAATCCTTCTGGCTGAGTCATGTAAATTTCTTCTTCCAACTCTCCATGTAGGAAAGCTGTCTTCACGTCTAGCTGCTCGAGCTCCAAGTCATAATGTGCCACTATTGCTAGTAGCACTCTGATCGAAGTATGTCTGACCACTGGTGAGAAAATCTCATTATAGTAAACTCCTTCCCTCTGCGAGAAGCCTCGTGCAACCACCCGAGCTTTAAATTTCATGCCCTCTTTAGAAGTGATTCCTTCCTTCTTCTTGTAGATCCACTTGTTTGTAACAATCTTCCTTCCCTGTGGTCGTTTGACTAGCTCCCAAGTCTGATTCCTGTCATGGGATTCCATCTCATCTCCCATTGCGGCAAGCCATTGATCAGCTTCACCACCCGAAACTGCTTCTCTATAGGACTGTGGCTCTCCTGCATCCACTTCCTCAGCAACCTGAAATGAATACGCCACCATGTCCTCGAAGCCATACCTCTGTGGAGGTACTCCTGCAGTCGCTCTCTTTGGTCTACCAGAAGCAATAGACTGTTGAGCTCGTGCACTGGACTCTAAAGTTTCTGGCTCTGCAGAGACATCCTCATCATGTTGATCTTCTCCACCTTGGTGCTCAAACTCACTCTCATTGAGAGTTTGCAGCTCCACCTGCTTATCAACATTCCTGCTACCTTCAGCAACAGTAACCTTCAACATGGGGTTAAACATAGACTTCTCATCAAATATCACATTTCTACTAAGTATAACTCGATGCTCAGAAGGTGACCAGACTCGAAATCCCTTAACTCCATCTCCGTAACCCACAAATACACCCTTCTTTGCCCTTGGGTTCAGTTTACCCTCATCCACATGATAATAAACAGGACACCCAAAAACTTTTAGTGAAGAGTAATCAGCAGGCTTACCATACCACACTTCATAAGGAGTCTTACACTCGATACCTGTGTGTGGTCCACGGTTGATCAGGAAGCACGCCATGTTTACTGCTTCTGCCCAGAATCTTCTCTCTAGTCCAGCATTAGAGAGCATGCACCGTGCTCTCTCCAACAATGTCTGGTTCATCCTTTCTACAACGCCATTCTGCTGGGGTGTATCTCTAACAGTCCGATGACGGGCAATCCCTTCATCCTTGCAGAATTCGTTGAACTCAGAACTGCAGAACTCCAGACCATTGTCCGTTCGCAGCTTCTTGATCTTCTTACCGGTCTGATTCTCCACCAATGTCTTTCACTACTTGAACTTTGTGAAAGCCTCACTTTTCTGCTTCATCATGAAAATCCAAGTAAATCTCGAATAATCATCAATAATAGACAGAAAATACCTGCTGCCTCCAATGGATTCAACTCGTGAAGGACCCCAACAGTCAGAGTGGAGGTAATCTAGTATCCCCTTCGTCCGGTGGATACCCTTCTTGGGAAACTTGCTGCGATGTAGCTTCCCAAACACACAATGCTCACAGAATTCCAAATTCTGCACCTTGTGCCCGCAAAGAAGATCCCTCTTCGATAGAACTTGCATCCCCCGTTCACTCATATGCCCCAGTCTCATGTGCCAGAGAGTGGTCATATCTTCCTGTTGAACCTGAGACGATGCAACTGCAGCAGAACCAGACAACACAGACCCTTGTAATGCATACAAGGTCCCACGCTTCACGCCCTTCAGTACCTTCCTTGAACCTTTGCAGACATACACAACTCCACCTTTTCCTTTGAAGCTAAAACCCTTGCTGTCGAGTAGACTCAAGGATATCAGGTTCTTTGTCATTCGTGGAACATGCCTGACATCATTCATGGTACAGAACGAACCATCATGTGTCCGAACCTTTATGGACCCGATTCCAACAACCTTGCAGACAGCTCCATTAGCCATGACCACGTTACCACCATCTATCTGCTCGTAGGTTGTGAAGCAATCCCTGTTCGGAGACATATGATATGAGGCTGCAGTATCCAGAAACCACACATCACCACGATGTGCCTTCTCATCTACAGCCAAGGCGAGATCGTCTTCAGAACTGTTGTCCACTTCTGCCACGGCAACTAAACCTTGTTTCTTCTGTTGCCCTCTTCTCTTGGGACAGTTGTACTTCCAATGCCCCACTTCCTTACAGTTGTGACAAGCATCACCTGGATGTGGACCGGGACCCTTGGAATTTTTGCTCGAATTCCCTTTTTCAGATTTCTTCTTTCCCTTTCCACCTGTAACAGCCAAACCCGATGCCTCACCACCTGTACCAGATCCGGACGCCTTATGTCTGATCTCTCTCGTATGAAGAGCAGACCTGACATCCTCCAACGACACGCTTTCTTTACCAGCAATAAAAGAATCAAGAAAATTCTCATATGAACTCGGCAAAGAAACCAGCAGGATTAGGGCAGCATCCTCGTCATCAACTTGAACATCTATATTACGCAGATCCAGCAAAATAGAGTTAAGTTGTTCGAGATGTTCCCTCAAAGGCGTACCTTCTTGCATCCTCAAGCCGAACAACCGTTGCTTGAGATGCAGCTTGTTGGTTAGAGACTTAGTCATGTACAGACTCTCTAGTTTCAACCACAAGCCCGCGGCAGTCTTCTCAGCAGCGACTTCAATGATGACGTCATCAGACAACGATAGCATGATGGTCGAGTGGGCCTTCTCCTCCAGGGTATTCCACTCATCGTCATCGACCGCTGCCCTCTTCTGTTTCGCAGACAGCGGCCCCCACAGCCCTTGCTGTTTTAATAAAGCCTGCATCTTGATCTGCCATATAGCGAACCTGTTCTTCCCCGTGAACTTTTCGATCTTCATGTTCACCGACGTCATTCTTCTGAATCGAAAACCCTAGCCTGATTTCCAATCGCGGCTCTGATACCACTTGTTATAAACGCGCTGCTACTGATCGGGAAATCGCCAGAATCGAAAAAGCAAGAATACGAAAGCGAGAATCGAAAACAAGACACACGATTTACGTGGTTCACTAACACGATGTGTGTTAGCTACATCCACGGGCGAGAGAGAGCCAGTTTCACTATATCGAGGAGATTACAGATTACAGAGGAGTATGAGAAGTATTTATAGTACTTCTCCATGTGGGTCTAAACCTAATCCAATCTCCAGCGAGACCCCCGATTACCAGTCGTAGCGGCTGATAATCCGATTCAAGTCATATCAACAAGAACATTATCCACAATTTGCCGTTCTCGTATAAAAGCATTCTGACCGTCAGAGATGACTTGAGGCAAAATGCCGGCCAACCTCTCCGCCATAATTTTAGTAATAACTTTATAAACGAACTGGCATAAACTGATTGGCCGTAATTGCCTCATAGTTTCCACCCTGTCCACCTTAGGGATCAAGGTAAGTCAGGTATGATTGAAACTGCGCAGCATCCTACTCGAAACAAAGAAAGAACAGACTGCATCAATAACCGAGTTACCCACCACATCCCAAAAGGCCTTGAAGAACTTTTTTGTTCTACAATATATCAAAGTAGATATACTTTGTACGATAAATATGAGAACTTAAAACGAATTAATAGATATAGTCCGTTAAATTAAATTGGGGAAAATTACGGTTATCTCCAATAATTAATTAAAAGTTATGTAAAAATGAGTTATTGATCAGATTTGCTCCCACACCTACAAGACAGCATCAATGATTTTTCAATTAGGTATATTTAGATAATGACAATTGACATGTCCTAGTTAGGATACGTTTTACAATATGTGGAGCAGATCCAATTTTGCTTGATCGCTTGAGATCCCTTTGACAATTTCTGTTTGGGCTCGTGGTTTCTGGTGCACCAGACTAGCTCAATTCTAAATTTAGCCTCCTAAGTTGAAATTTGTGTGATAATCCACATGTTGAGGAGACTACAAACTAAGTGCTCAAAATTAGGAGACACAACCTCGATGAAACCGTAGTACTGGTTTCAGAAAACAAAATGTTCCATAGTTTTGCGGGGGCGATTTGACACCCAAAAATAGCAAAAAACCAATTGCTCTACTTCAATTCCATTCCATCGGTGGAGATATTAAACAAAGCCATTCTCTCAACTCATATAACTTCCCATCATCATCGATCCTCTCCCTCAATGCCATCACATTGCTATAAGCAAGCCTTGGGCAGTCCAAGGTGTTCCGGTATGGCTCCGTTTATCGCGAATTCCTTGGGCTGCCTCCTCTTGCTCTTCTTAGCCTCTTCCTCCACCTTCTCTGATGCCCTGACGGACTTGGAGGTGCAGTACATCGCCCACCGCCAGCTCCTCACGTTCGACCAGAGCGGAAAGGAGGTGGGGGACCAGACCGGCGGCGGCGGCGGTCTGGACCCCAACCTCAAGTTCGAGAACCCGAGGCTGAAGAACGCGTACATCGCCTTGCAGGCGTGGAAGAAGGGCATCTACTCCGACCCTTTCAACTTCACGGCCAACTGGGTGGGGCCCGATGTATGCAAGTACAGCGGTGTCTTCTGCGCCCCGGCGCAGGATGGCTCCAAATTGAACGTCGTAGCGGGCATCGATCTCAACCACCAGGACATCGCGGGGTACCTGCCCCAGGAGCTCGGCCTGCTCACCGACCTGGCCCTGTTCCACCTGAACTCGAACCGGTTTTGCGGCATCATCCCGATGTCGTTCTGCAACATGTCCATCATGTTCGAGTTCGACGTCAGCAACAACCGCCTCGTGGGCTCCTTCCCGCAGGCCGTCCTGTGCTGGAAGGAGGCCAAGTTCGTCGACATCAGGTTCAACAACTTCGAGGGCTGTATCCCGCCGGAGATCTTCACCAGGCCGCTCGACGCCCTGTTCCTGAACAACAACCGCTTCTCGTGCTCGATCCCCCCGACCCTCGGGAGGTCCACCGTCAGCGTCGTCACCATGGCCTTCAACAACATATCAGGCTGCATCCCTCACTCCATCGGAGCGATGCCCAACGTCCAGGAGATTATGCTGGCGGGGAACAGCCTCGGCGGCTGTTTTCCTTCGGAGATCGGGAACCTGAGGAACGTGACAGTGCTCGACGTCAGCGGCAGCGGGTTCGTGGGCCCCATCCCTTCTAGCTTTGCTCAGCTGAAGAGCGTCGAGAGGTTGGACATTTCGTGCAACAGGATGACCGGTTCGATCCCCGAGGAGATCTGCAAGCTGCCGGCGCTGAAGAATTTCACGTTCGCTTCGAATTTCTTCACCGGAGTTGCCCCGGCTTGCAATCCGCAGTCGAGGAAGGATGTTGTGATCGACGACGGCAACAATTGCCTGGCGGGGAGACCAATGCAGAAGCCGGCGAAGGATTGCGATCCCGCGGTTACGAAACCCGTGGATTGTAGCAAGGACGTTTGCAGTGGCGGCGGCAGTCCGCCGAAGAAGGCGGAGTCGCCGACCGAAGATCCGCATTTGCCGGCGAGCGGCGGAATGAGTCACCCTCCACCGCCGGCACCCGTTCATTCCCCTCCACCGCCGGTTCAATCACCACCACCACCGGCACCGGTCCACTCCCCTCCACCACCGGTTCTATCGCCACCACCACCGGCGCCAGTCCATTCCCCTCCACCGCCGGTTCAATCTCCACCACCACCTGCGCCGGTCCATTCTCCTCCACCTCCGGTTCACTCCCCGCCTCCGCCGGTCCATTCTCCACCACCACCGGTTCACTCCCCACCACCACCGCCGGTTCAATCTCCGCCACCGCCAGTACACTCCCCTCCTCCGCCGGTAGTCCAAAAGCCACCGCCAAAGCCGGAGCAATCCACTCCACCACCGGCGAAATCATCGCCGCCTCAACCGGACGTTGTCCTTCCGCCAAACCTTGGGTACCAGTACTCGTCTCCTCCGCCGCCGATGTTCCCAGGCTATTAAATTTGTTTTTTTTTACAAGTTAATAGAACTAAAACACTACACATTATTGTGAGAACATCATATGTTAATTTTCTTTCCTTCTACATTGGAGAGGTGGAATTTGAATCGCAAAAATTGGCAATAACGGGGGAAAATACTTACAATTGTCGTGTAAAATTGTTGCAACATTTACCTCTGGCATTCGCCATTATCAAGCAGTGGAGGTGATCTAAAAGCTTATGAACCTCTTGTCGAACTCTCTGTGGCTCTAAGCCTCTTCCTCCATTATCGTTGTTTAGCGAAATATATACCTTGTCTTCGGAAACATATTACCCTAAATAAATATACAAAATTGTCAATAAAATATTATAATTATCATTGATATATCTTGAGCACAACAAATGCTATCTATGTTGTATATGTACTACAAATACCCAATATGTTAAGAGAAAAAAATGATGATTCATAAATAAATTATATGTATATTAGAAAGAAATGAATATGCATATATGTTGGGAAAAACTCGGTTGGATAGTAAGAGAATTATGTTTATATTTTACCCGGATTTTAGAAGTGTTTTTCGACTTCAAAAGCTGAAGTAGGGGCCAAACACCTCCAAAAGTTCGGCTTTTGAAAAGATGCAAAGTGCTTTTGTAGAATATAAAAGCACAAGCTCCAATTTGGAGCTTCTGCGAAAAGTTGTTTTGAAAATACAAGATTATCCTTACCATACTTTATTTTTTTATTTCAGAAAAATATAATTTTCTTTCATTTATATCATTTTAAAAATAAAATAAATTATAAAATCATATTATCTAAGATAAAGGAAATCTAACAAAACCCATTTTGACTACATTTTATTGTTTAGAATTTTTATTCATATTTTACATTACAAATATTTTATAGCATTTTAGATACCCTCTTATATTAAAAATGGTAACAAATCATCAACTTTCCATCTGGTCTACCGTTAGTTGACTCTAACGTGGCAAACTTTGCTTAGATGGAATGACGTGCCAAAAAGTATAACATTTTATTAATTTTAACCACCCACACAAGTTTTAGAAGAAACTTAAATAAAAAATATTAAAAATAACTCTAGAAAAAGACAACCACCTACACTCATCCAAAAACATGCACTTTTTTTATTGGCTCATGATGTTGATCACGTGCTAAATATTTAATTCTGGAATCGTGGTCATGACGCTCACAACACTTTCCGGCATGCTGTGTATACATAGGTTGAGTAGTTGAGAAAATCACATGATAATCACTAGTAACAGTATATACAGTTTTCAACTATATGTTGTTTTATAATTCAAATAAGTGAGTTTAACAATTCAAAGTATGTATAAAAGAGTTATATTATAATAGGTGTGTTATACTATAACATATTGTTATAGTAACATTATAAGTGTATATATTGACTTGATTAATGAATGGTACTTTGTTTAACGATTATTTAACCCATTGATATGATAGCTTTCTGGTTGCAAAACGTTTCCTCTTTTAAGGTGTTGTGTTTATCTAACACTCTCCTAATATGAGTTATCATAAACTTTTTTTTACAATAAAGTTTTCAGAAACTTACTTCTATGGTATGAAATTAGATTTTGACATCAGGTTAGTTGTATGTTATCCGCCTGATTTTATATGAATATATTGTGTGGTAAAAGCTTGTCTTAAAAGAAAGCATTGTATCATGCACAATTTCTGTGTTACTTTTTTTTAATTAGTTATAACATATCCTCGTTAATTTTTGTACACCAAGTCTGCTATCAAAATTGGCACCCCGAAACGTACGCACAAGGTTGTCGCCAATACTTGACGGCTTCAATAATTACCCTTAGTTCCACTATGGCAGCAGTCATCAACTGGCGTACATCATCAATGGACGAGGGGTGGACAACCTTGTACTTTTTATTGCTTATCCCAACCTTTCTTTTATGCTATCTCGGTACCTTTTTCGTAAAGGGTCTCCAAAATGGTTGATTGAGCGAAACAAAGAAGAAAATATCGAGGTAAAATTATGGAAAATAAGAGGCAAAATTAGACTAGAGTACAAGTTTAATGATATTTAACAATTTGGTCAAATAAAAGAAACAAAAAAAAGCCTTGGAATGATGTTTTTGGTTATATGAGGTCCAACAATAGTCATCTCTATTGCGTTTTCAAGTTTTCCTTCTGTGCTAGGATATAGTATCTTCATCAATTATGGACCTTTGTTGCTCCAATCGGTCCAAGTTAATATCCAAGGAGAGACGCATTCTTAGCTACTTTCATCGCCTACTCCTAGGCGTTGATAGTAGCTTGCCTTCACTACTCACTATTCTCTCGAAAAGTAGTGGGTGGCTAGCCTTTTGGAGAACCTGGTGAATGATCAGGCCCAGAGGTTAAGGTGGCGCGAATGGGCTGGGCAAGACTCGATTTGTCGGGCCGAACGAGACTAGATGTCGATAAGTTTGTTCTGCCACTTCAACCCCTCATCAGTAACCTGCACACTATAGAGGGGTCTTTTGTACTTCTTCACTCCTCTTACTTGTCGATCCTCTCACCAAAGGAAAACCACCCTCCACTCTCGTCGTCTGTCTCCCAACACCTCTCGGAAGAGATCTCTGCCGCCTCTCTCTCTCTCTCTCTCTCTCGTCTATTTTGCATCCCCTCCTGAAAAAATCCCCACCACCTCTCTCTCAGTCACACCGTCTGTCTCGCACTATAGGGTTGACAAGTTCTTCCTTCTCTTTTTCTTTTGGACCAGTCTCCTTTGTTTCTGGAAGTTCCTTTTATGTCTCTTCTATGTTGGACTTCTCTAGAGCCTGGATATGGATTTTCCCTCCCTGTTTCTTCCTTCTCTTTTTCTTCTTCAGATAGGCATAATGCCATCCAAATGCTGGCTATTCATTTTGAATCATGTGTGGTTCTGTATTTTAGCAATTCAGTCTGACACTGCCCTACTGTTATTGTATGCTTTTAACAGGATTAAGCCCCCCCCCCCCCAAATGATGTGCAATTTTACACTTTGTGACACGACGTCCTTCTTCGGGAGAGACAACACACATGATGATATGAATAGCTCTGAGTCGAGTTGAGCACTTTTCTTTTGAGCTGCATTCCATGTATCTTCACTATCTTCCATCATTTCTATAGGAGCAGTTCTTACGATAGCCCATAGATCAAAGTCAATTCCTGTGAGAAACAACATTTTCATTTCTTCCAGATAGGATAATCAGACCCGTAAAACCATGGAGGATTCAAACTTGTGGGAAATATGAGTTTCGAGAGGTACTATCCACTCTAGAAAGAGAGAAGAGATAACTTCTTTGAAGTAGCTAACTCGAACAAGAAGCCAGCTCTGATACCACTTGTAAATTGCTTTTCAGAAAGTGAACTAAGCTTTGTATTGCAACAAATCAAGGATTAAGAAACTAAACAATCATATACTCAAGCTTTCAAGAAAGCTGAGCTATTCAACACACTCACTACTCACTTAATAGAAGCAAGCTTCTCACTCAAATCCCAGGTAACAACTCATCCCTTGATTTGAGACACCTGACAATTGTAAAGCCTTTAGCCTACTGCTACTGCTCTCATAAAGGTGATCATACGACAAAGAAAGTTCTTATATTTAGAGCAGAGAAGATTCAGTGATTGCAGGGGCTTGATACTTCATCCTCCTTAGAATCGTTCTTGCTTTGGTATCACTTTGTTTTCCCAAGTCTTGGTTCATGCTTTAATTAATAAGTCGTTTGATTTCAATGTTGTTGCAGCTAGATTCTAGCGTGGACGATTTGTAGGATGGAAGGCTTGAAGATGTTGTCATGTTGAAGTTGGCCAACACCCGACAGATTGGGCTTGCATTAATTAACATTGATTGTTATGTTGCACTTGCACAACAGAGCTTGACGGTAGGTAGATTAGTTAGGGACGACCAGTGCCGCTTCTTCCAAGCTTTCACTATATGAATAAGGTTCAAGGGGGGCCCTTTTGTGCCATATTCCCACACAAAAAATGGTTTGGTGGCTAGAACCGTGAGCAGCAGGAAGGTTCAAACTTTGGTCAATGGAGAAGATGCTTACCAGTAGACTACCAAGATTTCTGATGTTATACGACCACTGTAAGTTTTGAAATTACCAAATTTGGGGGGGGGGGGGGGGCGAGGCTCCCTAAGATCTCACCTAGATAAGCCCTAGTAGTCCTTGTAACCATATCACCTAATCACCACATTTTACACAACCCTTTACTCAGCCTCGGTGGAGCTCTTTAAGACTTTATCTTGCTTCTTACATCTCCATGAGATAAATGAACCATCAAACTAAACCCACAAGCCCTTTGTGGATCGACGAGTATCAATACAATATGCATAATCAGAATAAAACCTAAACATTTTTAAAATACCTACAACATAATCTGAGCATTAAGGCAAACATAAACACTTTCAGAATCCATCGAATCAAGTTTTGATACCATAATAACAAATTGGAATTACAGTGATTTCTAGAATTGCATTGAGAAATTGTGACTAGTCCATGACGATAAAGGGTTTACTCTTATTTTTATAACCATCAAGTTACAATGTTGAAGAATATTGATAGTTCAGCTACCCTAGAAGCTGCAAACGATACAAGCCGCTAAATGAGCTATACGAAGTCCATAATCTACACTATCATAATTTTACATGTGCTATATATAATGAGTTTTCATATACGTCAACAGAATCACAATCACATACCAGAGTCTCACAACCAATGCAATCAGAGAACCAATACCAATGCACACTAGGATGATCTCAATGCATATAAAAAACCATAAAAAACCATTGTTAATGCATATCAAAATATATGTTAATGCATATCAAAATTATAAATGGTGTCCTATGCGGATTGAAAAGGCGCAACTAATGTAAACAGGTCTAAATGGTGTCCTAACCTACTAAATGCTCAATCATCGTCCTCTCTCCAAACCTTCCCACCGTACTCGACAACCACCTAACCTCCTCCACCTATATTGTTACGCAAAGCAATTTCCGGAGGGTAAATATGAAAAGGTTGAGTGTTCTTGCTTGGAGAGCTGACTGATGAGTTATTTAGTTTCTTTGACAGTAATGTGTGATATCTTAACATCAGTTCATTTGGTTGATCTTCTAGGTTGAATTTTGAGTTGATTAAAGATAAATAGCTATACTTTTTGTTGCTTTTGTTATGATACTCCTTTTCAGTATCATCCTTTTTCTGATTTGAAATGTTTTTGTGGTTAGTTTCCAGTAGGCAAGGTGATATACCTTATGAGAGCAGAAATGCCTCAGGTTAGTCAAGGTTTGATTATGGGTCCTAGAAGATATGTGATTGAGCAAGAAGAGGAGATTGAAGTTGATGGCAACCCTCAAAGTTCTGCAGAGGCAGTGGATTTGCAACCCTAAGAGTTGGTGGTTGCATGTCCATCAACATTATAAGACATTTGGAGCACAAATCCCCCTTATTGTATGATTTGGAGTAGATACTAAGAGTTCGTACTCGTGCACGTTTTGTCATTATGACACAATTAAACGGTTTATGTGTTTATATGAAAAAAACCAATCATTGAATCACATGTCCATCAACATTACAAGACATTTGGAGCTCAAATCCACCTTATTGTACAATTTTGACTCGGTAATAAGAGTTCGTACTCGTGCACGTTTTGTCATTATGACACATTTAAGCGGTTTATGTGTTTATATAACTAAACCAATCATTGAATCACATGTCCATCAACATTACAAGACATTTGAAGCACAAATCCCCCAACAAAGACTATTCTGATTAGTGTTAAATAGGGAATAGCTTCAGTCATACCACTTTTACACAGAATTTATATGTAAGAGCTGAGATCATTGCCGAATTGAACTATTCAAGCTATAATGTTGATCTTCAACATATAAAACATGGTTTCTTTTGAGTAAAACAAGCTCATGATTGCAGATAAGTTTTTACAATATGATGTTTTGTGATAGTGGTCACTTGCTTCCAGATTTAAAAGTATGGTTCTAATTACTACAATATAAAAAGTACGAGTGATAGTCATAATTGGAGCAGATACAAGATGGTTTGATATCCTTCTCTCTGCAAAGAATAAATACATGGTGAGCATATGTTGTAATGGGAAGGATAAACCGAACTCTGTGTTTGTAGTATAGCATGTTGATATATACACATGTCTAGACCCGATCGATTGGACATCTCCACCTGGAATTTATTGAGGGGATTTTTGCTCATCAAAACCGCGTGCCAAGTAAGCTCCCTCCTTAATCTTTATATTTTTCTTAATCTGCACATGCACACCCTCATAGGAAATATGTACAGAACTGTAATTTGGGTGCTTCATTAGTAATGTTTCCATAAGATTGTATTATCTGAGGTGGTTGTTCTAGAATTGTGAATCGTGATTGTATCTCCTCTAAGAAATTGTCAAATTAAGCTATAAAAGAGGCTAACCTGAGCTTCCTCTATAATTTAGATGGTAAGAGAGCAATGACCCACGTCAAATTGATCGGGGGTTGACAATGCCTAAAAAACTGTTTAGCCTTCTTCAGAGCATCACAAGATCCTGATAGTATCTCAACCAAAGCAATTTTTGGGGTAGTTATCATAAATGGTAACAAAACTATTTACTTTGTACAAAACGGTCACAAATCTTTAATTTTGCACGTTTCAGTAACATATCTTTTAACTAATAACAAAAAGGTAATCTCCATCCATCTCCATCCAAAATTCTGTTAGTTTGGTCGAATCAGTTATCCCGTCAGCATCCACATCAGCAAAATAATTAATAAAAAATAAAATAAAAATCAATTAAACCCTAACCAACCCACCACCCCAATCCAACCCTGCCCATTCCTCTCTATCTCCTCTCCCTCTCCGCCGGAAGACGAAGAACACGATGAAAGCTTAAAAAAAGTGCAAACTGAACGTTCAATTGCATAATCATGGAAAACCCGAAACACCCCGTTAGAGAACTATTCGGATTGAGTTTAGAGAATGCAATTGGAGGAAATCCCCTGTTTCTGGACTCCCTTGTGACAGAGGCAGAGACTAGGTGAATTGGGGGAGAAAAGATACATAGGATGCATGGGAAGGAGAAAAGGAAAAGGAACTGGAAACCCAGATGTGGGAATGTTAAAGTTTGCAAATTGGGGACAGATCACAGATGAATTACAGACAGCGGCGGCAGCCGGTCAATGATAGGCCGGCAGGGAAGCAAAACAGAGAATGAGGGGAAAGACGAGGAAAGAATAAAAAGATGGAGTTCTAATAATTCTACGGCTAGAAGAAGGACTATACAACTCAATTATACAAAGATTAGAAGAAAAAGAAGAAAGAATCCATATTTCCATCCCCGTAAAAAGAAAACAAAAAGGTCGAATCTTGAGAGGGAACTCCAATTTTCCAGTTCTTTCTTGAAATCGATGATCAAAAGTGGCAGCCGCAACAGAGGTAGAAAGAAAGAAAGGGTGGCTACTAGCACAATCGCCTCGAGAACCGACGCGACCTTGAAGAGGACGTTGTCGACCAGCGATATCTGCAAATTGACTCGCTTCCACTTGAGAGTAGAGGTCAAGAACTTCCGCCTCCACCGAAGCGACTCCTTATTCAACTTCAGCCTCGCCGTGGTCTCTCTCCTGCTGTTCTTTGTCTTCCGGCGGAGAAGAAGAGGAGATAGAGAGGAATGGGTTGGGCTCGATTGGGTGGTGGGTTGGTTAGGGTTTAATTTGTTTTTATTTCATTTTTTATTAATTATTTTGCTGAGGTGGATGCTGACGGAATAGCTGACTGGACCAAACTAACAGAATTTTGAATGGAGATGGACGGAATTACCTTTTTGTTATTAGTCAAAAGATATGTTACTGAAACGTGCAAAATTAAAGATTTGTTACTGTTTTGTACAAAGTGAATAGTTTTGTTACCCATTGCTATCCGTAGTAAATTATCATGTTATTAATTAAAGCAGAAAAGGGCGACTGGCGGACAGCTGTTCAAACTTCATACCGAGGATCGCAATCCGATTGGCTGATTCCTACCGGTTCAAACTTCATATTTGTGTTCATGGCTGATGTTGATACAAGTTGTTTACCTAGAGTAGAGCCCCAACAAGTTAGCTCTTGGAGTTGCGATGTGAAAATTAGTAAGACATAAATAGTTTATACAAAAGGCCATACTATGATCATATAGAATGCGTTGGTAGAGATAGTAATCAATCTCATTTTATTGACGAAGCCACTAAAGAGAAGAGAGGAATTGCCATTGGTACTCTAAATTTTACAAAGCTATTATAATGATAATTTCTTTCATTTTCATATAAATTTGTATTATGATTGAAGTGATATTACCCCAACTATACATTGCAGTAAGGAATGGTCGTTTCAATTCATATGCACTGATGCAAAATGCCATGTAGCTGCCACGAAAAAGGAGTAAGAGTGGACCAGTGTGTTTGCTGTCGAGAAGAATAAGAATCGTGATAATGAGGAGGGTTCATGACAATTGACTTATACATATTGAAGAGATATAAAGTACACAGTTGTAATTCATTTGTGTGTTTAGTGTAGCAGAGTGGTTAGGAGTGATTTGGTAGAATTTCACAGTGGTAGAGATATTGACAAAAGTTATTATCTGTTGGTGCTTCCAGGCATATATAGCTGATAGACCGTTAATTACACATGTTTTCGCCCTATTCTTACACCGTTTGAGATGTGGATTCTCGCGTTTTAGGCCGATTTCACGCTAGGTTGTGCTTGTTTGTGATATTTCAGATCCTAGTACGTGAATGGAGGCTTGTGAGCGAGTTTGGGGGCGATTGGACGAAGATCGGACGCGTGGCGAGGTGCTGAGGAAGCCACACGGGCATTCCTGGAACCCACACGGCCGTGCAAGTCATGCTCGTGGCCGTGTGGTTTGTGCCGAGAACAAACACGGGCATGGTGAAATTTCCACACGGCCGTGTGACCCTGGCCGTGTGGGAAGCCTGAAGTTCGACTAATTGAGACGCATCATTTTGGAAGCCACACGGGCAACTGGGTGAGCCACACGGCCGTGTGGCCTGCCCGTGTGAGTCGGGAAATCTTGGTTTTTACCCAATTTCGAGCTACAAGTGAGAGAATCGATCTTTTGGAGCAAAAACAGAGCCCTAGAGAGAGAAAGTGCGAAGAACTCATCCTAAGAGTGGTTTTGGAGCTGGGTTTCATCAAATCAAGCTTGGAGATCATCATCCCAGAGCAGATTCTTCCCATTGTTATGAGTATGACTGCTTTGTATCCTGTTTCCCCCTCTCTCTCTATGGAGTAGAACCTTTCTCTCACTTGGGTATGAAGAACCCTAGTTCCATGTGTTAGGGATCTGATTGTAATGACTTGGGATGATTATACTGTTTGGTTTTAATTGAATGATGCATGATTCATTGAATTGATTGAAGTCTGATCAGCTTTTCTTGATTTCTGCTGCAACCTGAGATAGATAGAATCTAATTAGGTTGTTAGAGCTACATCATTCGGTAGTAGTGGATTGGCTATACGAGAGTTAGTCAATCTACTGCTTTGTACTGGAATCCAATTCCAGTAGTGGAGTTCTGTGTTCATAGCCTCAGCTTTCTATCCCGGTGAAGACTAGTCGTCTACCGGGTAGTTTGACTGAGAGGGCTTGGTCAGCTTAAGACATTCCAAGCTACTGTCGGATCTTCCGCAGTTTAATCAACAGTAAATCAACCCAGGGTAGTTACAATTGAGACCTAGCTAAGGAGCTAGGGGGACTCATTCCCGAGTGACTCTTCCTTGCTTTAGAAAACCGAACAAATTTCCTGCTTTCTTACTACTTTTACTTTAAACAACAATCACTCGACTTAGTTGGCTAAATAATAGATAATCACGGAGTAGGCAGTAGATCTAGAACCCGGGTTGATAATAGAACTTGCTACTTTACTGCATTCCCGGGCTGCGATTACACTTGGTCGCAGTTTGGTGTTGTGTTTTTAGCGTGTCAATAGCTTGCCTGTTTCTTTTGTTTGTATATGAGATTTCTACGGCAGATAGCATGCTTTGCATTTTTTTGTCATTTTAATTAACAAAACTATTTATCAGGAAAAAAAACTGGCCGACGCATTCCATCGACTTGATTTGGACATTGCTGGTTTTTGTTTTCTCGGCAAGGGATTCATCTCCTTTGGTGTCACTGTGGTTTTTGGTCTAAGGGCAATCTAGATTGGGGTTTTCTTATGAAATCTCTTGGTGGCTTCCATTTTTACCATCGATAATTGGAGTCAGGTAAGCATTCCTTTGGTTTTTTCATGTTCACTTTAGGGGCATCATGGTGCATGACAATAATGGCTATATTTAAGGCTAACGGCTTGGATTGTCCATTATAGTTTTATGTTTTACTGTTTCTTTTGTAATGGAATGAGATAACACCTTCTGATCATATTATTATGGTGTTGTTGACCTATCTACGACCATCGCTAGATACATGTTAATAGATAATATCAATTAGAATCAAAGAGTTAATTTCCGAAACTAATAAGCTAGTCTATTAATAAAGAGGGGACAAAAGGAAAAATAAAATTAAATGTGATTGGTCCGTTTTTAGAAAAATGAACAAAATTCAAAACATGAACCGGTTTACACGCCACCCTTTGTTACTCAACATCAAACCGACGACGTTTCGTAGATGACAGATTCCTTAGGCATCACGTTCGATCGGTTGGATCATCGTGAGGTCCCGGGTCCATTTCCAGAGCAAGGAAGCACGAAATCCAAGCCACGAAGAAAACCTGCCTGAGCACAAAATTCCATTGCACTCTCTTCTCTCCCGATCGATTCCGTTTCCCAGTCACAGACCCAACCGATTTCGATTCCCAGTTCGCAATCACGATACTCCCTTGGAGGAAATTCATTTGCAGTCCATGATGGAAGAAGGCGGGACCGACACCAACAACAAAACGAAGAACTCGCCGCCGACAAGTGAAAGTATGGAGTCCCGCGGGACTCGCGGAAAGGATGAACCGCCACAGCCGGAGCAGGAAGTGAACACCGGTGGAGGCGGTGGAGGAGGAGGCGGATGGGGAGGTTGGGGTTTCTCTTCAGTCCTCTCAGATCTCCAGAAAGCTGCCGAAGAGATCTCTCGCAATGTGCGGTGTCAAAACTTTCAAACTCAAATCGGTTTACTTATCACTTCATTCCTCCATGCTTTGATTCTTATGAGTGTTCTTGTATTTGGCTGTGGTTTTGAGTTTTTTTCGGCTCACTGTTAGATCCAGTTCAATGGCGGACTCAGGGGTTTCGATGTAATGTACAGAAGAAAACGATGATTTGTGAATTATTTACTTCATTGGCTCTGTTACGCTGGAGAACGCGGTTGCATGTATATATAGTATGTATGGATCTTGTATGTTTCAGCTGAACTATGTTACATTCTGGATGCAGGCAGCTGTGGCTGCAGAGAAAGCTGCAAAAAGCATTGCGGATATGAACCTCGCCGAGGACTCTGAATCCTCCAAGGGTGAAGATGAGGGAGATGAAGCTGCAAGTGATAAGCAAACCGAAGAGGAGACGGATGAGTTACGAAAATCGGCTTTGGATAAGTTGGAGAAAGCTAGTGACGAGTCCGTACTCGGTCAGGTAGGGAGTATAAATTCATTTGACTGGTTGAGTATAAATTCATTTGGTATGGAGTAGCTTCTACTTTCATTTCCTGTTCATTGTTGATTGCTATCAATATGTTTCTTGATCTGGAGGCTGTAAAGTGAACTTGCTCTACCTTTGTTGTTGCCATATCGGTGCAGTCGATTAGGGTGTGGTGAACAATGTCACAGGCCTTCATATGTTGACATGATAATGGGTTACGACAACTGTATTTGCATTATTGGCGTCGAAAGCATTGCCTGATATTCATTTCTCAATTTCAGGGCCTAAAAGATCTTGATCACTCCGTGGAGAATTTTGCTACTGGAGCTTGGCAAGCATTAGGAAATGCATGGAAAAGTAGTTCCAGCTTTGTTCAAAGGTAAGTGCAGTTGAAACCTGATTAGATGTTTCCTGTATTTGGTAGTCAAATTGTATAGGGAAATTGATTGGCATTATATATGTCTTGTTCGTTTCTCTTTATAGGAGAGAACAGAGGGATTTCATGACAACTAGAGTATTGAGTTTTTACATTCCGGAAGTCCCTTTTAGATGAGAAATTCTCGTTGGCAATTTATATTAGATAGCGTTGCATTCTGTTGGAAGAAGAATAGCCGAAATGGGTTTTGAGCCTTGGGGCAAGGTTCATCCAGTTATTTTTAGTCAAGTCATTAGGTGGCTTGATGAAGACTTTGCTCGGCTACTGTGATCTAAATAATATGTGGCGGAGTGCTGTCTGAAGATAAACAATTATATGTGTTCATTCATCTATATGGCCACCATCATCACTGTCCCTTTTTGTGAAGGCAGTTTCAGATTCTTATTTCCTATGAAGATAACTGGGCATAAGTGGGATGCATGTTTTGTTGGTGTTCAGATTTCTTGCTCTCTATGCATTTATATTTTCTTAAGCAGAGAAAATCTGTCCTTGATTTTTGTCAAGATCTGCCTCTCTTACATGCTGGTTTTTTTATTTTATAGGCTAGAGAATTCTGCCGTGAACCTTGCAGAAACAATTCAAAAGGATGGCATACAGGGTGCAGCTGGTTCTGTTGCACCAAACTTGCTAGAGGTTGCAAAAACTCCTTGTTAAATTTGTGCTCTCATGTGTTCTTTACTTTTTGTTGCTTATTTCGCTAACCTTACTGTTTGCAGTCTGGGAAGGCATTCACAACTAAAGGAATGCAAGTACTTGAATATGTTGGCAAGGAGACAATGGATCTCTTAATCACAGAGACCGGCATGGATATTGAGAAGAATTCTAAAGGCCCTGGAAAAGAGGGTGAGGATCAGTTGCTTGAGGATGTAACATTTGATCGATGCTTCTATATATATGGAGGTCCAGAGCATTTGGAGGTCAGATTCATTTCCTTTCTTGTAACTCTTTTAATAATTACATGCCTGTACTGAAGATTGACTTGTAAAATGCTATCAGGAGCTGGAGGCCTTGTCCAGCCATTATGCCCTCTTGTTTAATCGAAGGAAAGCAAAATTGTCATCAGAACAGAAGTCTGTACTTGATGGACAGCTTAAAATGGTTCAGCAAACTTTGGATCTGGGTATTGAAATGGATGGAAATGGAACCGAGTCAAATAAAGGGAAGAAAGTGGAGACTGGAACTAAGGGAAGTAGTGATGAAATGAAAACCTTGCATGATTCAAGTGTCAGCAAAGCTGCTGACATGGCTGCAGGGTAATGTTAGCTTTACATCTGACTGCTGTAAACTCCCACTCTTGTCCTTGTGGCTGTTAACTAATGAGATATTGCTGTTGACTGCAAATACTTTCCCACTCATTTGCAGGTTTACCAATGCTCTAGCAGGGCAAAGTGCAAATGACATGATTCAAAGAACTTCCGGCAGATTAGACACTCTTCACTCAGAGGGAATTCATGTATGTTACATGTGCTCAACATCTTTCGATGCTCACCATGCAGTAGAGAAGGGCATTTTTTGGTGTATATATTTCTCATATTCAATCACAATCCACGCTTATGTTGGTTAAATTTTTACGGAATGTCCTTATCTATGCAGAGACTCTCCGATATCACCTGTTCTGCGGTCTCCCAGCTTCTGATGCTTGGTAAATCCATAATAGCCCATGCTAACAAACTTCCCAAAGAAGATGCCGAGGAGGACGTCATAAAAGTCGACTGGCCTGAAGATTCTGTTGACAGAGCGAAGCTAATCAGGGAAAAAGCACAAACTATGGCAGGATACGTCGAAGCTGTTTCCAACAGCTTTATCACTGGTTCGTTTCTCGCCTTTCCATTTCCGAGAATCTGCAAACGATTTCACCAAACGAACCCCATTTCTCAATTCTTCTGCTGCTTATTATCCTCAGGCATAGCCGATGTAGCTGAAGCTTATCTAGCAGCCATAAAGGGCACAACCACTGCTGCAGATAGCCGTGAAGATCTTCCGAAGAAATCGATCGAAGAAAAAGCCAAGACCTTCGCCCAGCTCCTCCGGAGTGATCACATCACAGCAGTCGGGAAAATACGGGATGGACTTCAGTACCTGTCATATGTCATCATCTCCACATCTATGCCTGCTGCTGCTGCTGCTTGATATGCAACTTGGCTTTCTGTCTGGTTCCAGTTTGTCTGTGATTGTACTTTGTACATAATGGTTCAGGATAGGATGAGCATTCTTGGTTTCTGATAAGAATAGCTCAAAACTGACTTGGGTTTTCTTAGCAAGGGTTCAAATTTGAATACTAGAGACCTCTCGAGTGTTAGAACAGGTTGTTTCCCATGTGAAGGACTGGTACTGCTATATGATCAATAATTAGAAGGCAACCAAGGAAAAAGATATATATACGGTGGGAATGTGTGGGTGCAAATTAGAACTGTTTTTGCTTTCTTTTCTTCGCCAAGTGAAAATGAGATTTTTGATGTTTGAAAAGATGACATGATTCAGCGGCCAAAAACTCAAGTTCTGTGGTAGAGTTACACTTTTCTTCTTCTTTTGATCTTTTCCACAACTCGATTACTATTTTGTTGCGATGTTCCGACCGAGAAAAGTACGAAACATTATGATATGCTAACTCGAAATTTACAGATTCGAAAAAAGTAAAATCACACTACTTTGAAAGACTTTTTCACCGTAAGGTTTGTAAAAGCTGCAAAGTTTTGTCCGGAACTTCGTTGCGCATAACTTTAGAGTTCAGAACTACGCTCGCACCTCATAAAAGCTGCGTCATTCAAAGCTCTACTACAGCCAGCCATTTAGGGGGAGGGTTTAGCCTTGGTTAGGTTAAACCGAGAGTATTTCGATCATTTTTCTATGCACGTCAATGAGGATTTAACATCGTATTGACGAAAAAGGTGTGATTAGAAGAAGAAAAAATTTTATGTTCAGGAGCCTTTTCAAAAAGGTGTGATTTAGTTGGAGAAAACTCACAGTTTAGGACTTTAGGGTGGTCAACATCGACAGAGACCAATAAATTTGGAGGATTCTCTTAATAAGTTTCTAGATGAACCCAAAGCTTATTGCCGTCGAGATACGGACGCCATTGTCGTCTTACAAAGACCTTTGAACCACCTTCGTTTCTAACCAAGCCAATTGGCCTAATCAAACATCAAGTCAAGAGCTTTCATCACCTACCCCTGCTTAATCCAACAAGAAAACGAACCCCTTCATCCCTGCAATCATAACCATCTTTTGGCACCAAGAAGAAAGGAAAGAAAGAAAGGAAGAAAGATTCTCTCTAACCATTCCCAAGCTTAGCAAACTCGAACTCCCACTGCTTTCTTACCACCAACTTCCCAAACCATGGTGGAAATCGACCCATCATTCATCCAAGAAACAGAGCACAGGCCAAGCTCCAAATCACCACCACAAGAAGAAAACCATGGCGCCTCGGATCAAATCCCAGTAATCGATCTCTCTTCCGACACAGAATCCCTGGTCACCCAGATCGGCGACGCCTGCGAGAAGTGGGGGTTCTTCCAGGTGGTCAACCATGGAGTCCCGCTGGAGCTGCTCGACAAAATGAAGAGGGTCGGTAAACAATTCTTCGACCTGCCCATGGAGGAGAAGAAGCGAGTGAAGCGGGATGAAGTCTACCCCATGGGTTACTACGACAGCGAGCACACCAAGAACGTTCGTGATTGGAAGGAAGTTTTCGATTTCCTGGTGGTCGATCCGAGTTTCGTTCCCGCCACCGAAGTTCCTGAGGATCCAGAGCTCAGGACGTTGACTAATCAATGGCCGCAGACACCTGCTGATTTCAGGTACTTTTCTTAGCCACTTTTCGTTTCCCCTTTCTTCAGGTTGATGATCTTACTAATCAGAAATGGGGAATACAGGGAAGTCTGTGAGGAATACAACAGAGAAGTTGAAAAGCTAGCGTACAAGTTGCTGGAATTCATTTCCCTGAGCATGGGTTTGCCTGCTGAGAAACTGGGTACCTATTTCAAGGACCAGATCAGCTTCTCCAGGTTCAATCACTACCCTCCTTGCCCGTCCCCCGAGCTAGCTCTCGGCGTTGGAAGGCACAAGGATGGCGGAGCATTGACTGTGCTGGCTCAAGATGATGTGGGAGGGCTGGAAATCGCGAGGAGAGACGACGGAGAATGGATCCCTGTCAGGCCTGTTCCTGACGCCTTCATTATCAACATTGGCAACTGTATGCAGGTAAAAAAAGAGAGATTGTAGAATCCTCTTACGGTCAAATCGATCGGGTTAATGGTTGTTTCTGCTATGATTTCTGAAGCAGACCGGGTTAACCGATGATTGTTTCTGGCAGGTGTGGAGCAATGACAAGTACTGGAGTGCAGAGCACAGAGTGGTGGTGAACTCGAAAAGGGAAAGGTTTTCGATACCCTTCTTCTTCTTCCCTTCCCACCATGCCCAGATCAAGCCTCTGGAAGAGCTAGTGAATGATGAAAACCCTCCCAAATACAAGGAGTTCAACTGGGGGAAGTTCTTCACCAGCAGAAACCGCAGCGATTTCAAGAAGCAGGAGGTCGAGAACGTTCAGATCGATCATTTTAAGGTATCAAACTGAGTGGTTTTAGTTTTCAGTGTGGGAAGCTTGCTTTCCTTTGCTGCTACTACTAATGCTGCTCTTGTTGTTACTGCAATGGTCATTACCTGCTGGTGTAGTTGTGTTGTATTATGAAAGCATGAATCAAAAAGAGAACAATTCAACATATCTCTGATCTATTTTGCACCATTACTACACCAAACAGATTGATCTTTACATGCTAGCTCGAACAAAGAAACCAAAGTCCGTCGATATTTGCATATATAGCAGGCTTGAGAACCGTTACTTCGGACAGCAGTTTCTTTGTTAACTAAAAATTTCCGACCAGATCAACCTTATGCTATACCGAAAATTTCCACCAAGCTCGAAGTAATATTTAGTTGGAGGTTACGAGTCCATCATGCGTTCTATGCTACAAGACATTGGTCCTTTCAAAAGAAAGAAAATGGTAGTTCGCAACAGAAAGCTCTATTGTAGCAATAGTGTCTAAGAGTGCTATGTTCGACAGAATCCCCGCCTGACTTCATAAAAACTGACGACAGAGAAAAATGTGCGACTATTCGTTTTCGTGGTTTGCGTATCGGAGGCACGCCACTTCTTCCCCTTGGAGCAGCTTCTCCACAGCGTCTAGTGGAAGACCAACCAGCTCCAGTGTCTTTTCCCATAGTTTATGCGATTGCTCAGTTCTGTGCGCTTCTTCAGAAGGGCTCGCCGGCCGACAGTCTTGGGAGATGAAAGCACAAGCCGGATGGTCGTCCGTTTTCAACACTTCACAGTACTCCGACATCTGGGGATCGGTAGCTGCGAAAAGCGCACTACGGGCACCTGGATTTTGGTCATGGAACAACTCAAGTGAGCTCATTACAGAATACAACTTCAATCTTCGATTTCAGATGACGATTCAATTATCTAACTTTGTCAGATGACGATTATAAATTATCAAGAAATGTCGTTGAACCCACCTTCCTCAGGAGTGAAGATGAAATAAGGTATCAGATTATATCCAGCCTGCACAACTTTTGGAAGGTCCCTTGCCTACATCAAAATAAATGTTTTATGTCCAGAGGTAATAATATCAGGAAGCTGTTTACTGAACAAACGGGACTGAATATCTAGCTCCAAAATTCAAGACACTTACAACATTTGTATGGACAATTCCCGGATCGACACACACTACGCTAATTCCAGCTTCACCAGGCAGGCGCTTGTGGAGGACATTGCTGAACATGACCTGCAACCAAATTTATGTCATCATGAATACTTTATATCTAAAAGACATGAACTGGCAACAAAAAGAAGAAAAAAGTTCAGATTATAGATTATAGAGCACGACATTAAAGGGATCCAATGTCAAATCTGATTCTCCAGAAAATAAACATGGACATCATTTTTCAATAAGCATGGTAAGGCTTAAGAATCTAACACTGTTGAACAGAGAAAGAATCTAGCACAAGTACTACCTAACACTAGCAAATTCCAGTCCGTAAAATTGATGTTGTTGACTAAAGCTGAAGTCTGATATGATAAATTGGCTTCCCTTGACAGTTCGAACAGTCAAGCAAACATATAAAGTCAAATGCTTGGCTTAAAGGATCAAATATAAAGCTGAAAGCCAAGTTGGCTAACAAACTACTCAGATTAGGCATTACGTCCAACTACGCCGAAATAGATCATAGCATTCCAAAAGCTTGTTGGTAGCACTAGGGCTCATACGTGCAGATCCCAATTCAAAATTATACATCCCTCCATTAAAAATTACTATTAAGTAAAAATGAGATAAACCTTAATTATCAGTAATATTTGAAGGCTGAAGGTGCTAGGACGAAAGCAAGCTGCTGGGCATATAACACAATAATCTACTAGTCTCTTACGCTTTAAGACAATGAATTCGTCTTATAAACAAAATCAAGAAAAATGCAATAACGAAAGCAATGATAGCAAAATGCAGGAACGAGCCAAACCACCAAACTGAAAATCAATCTAAAGGAACCTGTGCTAACTTGCTGCTAGTGTATCCCACGACACTTGAATATTTCCTCTTCCCAGATGTAACATTCAAGTCTTCTGTGTCAACATAGCCAACATAGTGCATCTGCATGAAAGGAAAATGTTAGAGCTACTTTCAAGCATTCATCAGTTAAATGGAAAGTGGCCATTAGTGAAAATGTCAAGACTGGATTTGTCATAACCTTTTTACCAAGTCATGTGTAGAAGAGAGGATATTCATAATGTTCACCCACAATTCAAGTCAAATCAAGAGAGAAGGTAGGAAATGAAGAGAAATTTAGATGAGAGCAGTAAGCAAAGAATCAAAGCATACTGAATAATTGCTTACTACAAACATTCTACTCAATAATTTACAAAACCAATTTGACAGAGAAGGTAGCCAAATGACTTACCACTGAATTGACATTAACAATCCTACTAGGAGAGCCTCTGATTAGGGATGGCAAAAGTAGTATTGACAGTAATGCTGGAGCAAGATGATTCACTTGCATGTGCTCTTCGTACCCATCTCTTGAAAATTTTTGAGGCTCTGAATACAACAAAGTCCATGTAAATTGACTCTCAGGTTTTCTTAAATCTGAAAAAACCTTCAGTGGTTTGTTTGACAAGCACAGGAAATGAACAATGCACATATAGCTTACCGTAGAAAGTCTATATAGCAAAAATAATCAATATAACTCAATTCAAGCAACCTCGACAAATTTCCACTTCTCTACAATTTCAACATTTTACATATCCTATTTCTAAACTTGACAGGAACCTAGCTCTCACTTCCCGCTAAAGTTTTACCCCATTGCTTAAGAGATGTTTATATTGTCTTAATGCCATCTGTGGGTTGCATACCGTTCAAAATTGTCTCTATGGTTCCAAATCTCCTTCCACCTTGCCCTCAACATCCAAACCTAAACTGACAAGAATTTCATTAGCAAGCTAGACCATTCTTTCCTAACCATGTATCACGTAAATGAACTCAGGGTGATAATACGTTGAAATCCACAAACACAGGAGCGAGGAACTCTGATACATCTAACCAAACCATGAAACCGAGTCATGTAAATTTCCACACAAAGTCAATTGGCAGTTGGCAGTTGGCACTATAAAACGAACAACTAATTCTTCTGGTATGAGAATTGGGTTCTAAAATATCGAAGACAGTATTTGGTAGATAACATGTATTTATCTCTGTTTCACCATGCTTAACGAATTGCTCTTCATTCTATATGATTTCTTCTCCCTTTGGACATGGCAACTTCACTTATACTGTTATGGAGGAAGATCACACAGCTATGTTATACTGGGCACTAACTACTAGAACCAAGCAGGTGTAAGAGAGGGATTCAAGAGCTTAATAAATTATCAAAAGAGCAAGCAGTTAAGTAACGACCCAGTAAGACACACCTCCTATGGCAAAAATGCCAGCATTGTTGATAAGGACGTTCAGAGGCCGTGAAGTAGCATTCCAAGCTTCAGCAAACCTCACAACTGATTCCAATGAGAGAAGATCAAGTTCCATCACCTTGCCAAATTGTAAAAATCATATCAGCCAAAACCCAAACGGTAAAATCAAAAGGGTTAAGCAAAGGCATTCTGAAACTTAATTATATATCTCAAGTTTCCATCCCCATTCCCCCATATTACTCAGGGGTCAACAAGTAGTTCCTCCACCTTCAAACTTGAAGAACTAACTCCAGCCCAAGTGGAGAGACTGATTCACGAAAATGGTAACTTGAATCACAAACCTCAATGTTGAGTGGAAGGCCTTTCCCAGCCCATTCAGTCTGCCACTTCTGGATCAACTCGCTACCCGCCCTCACGTTTCTGACGGCCATAACAACATGAGCCCCTGCCTCCGCTAGCTGCCTGTGGGCTCAGGATAGAAACTGGAACCAAATTAGTCTTCAATACAAACAGCAATAACTAGAAAGAGACAAGAGACAAGAAGAAGAAGAACCTGGCTATTTCACGGCCGATGCCGCTGGTGGATCCGGTGACGATGCAGGTGAGGTCGTTGACGGGAGGCAAAGGGAGAGGATTCTGCAAGTGACTGGCCAAGATTCTCTGGAACAGCATCTCGTGTATCACGTACAACCATCCTCTGATCCACTCTATCCACCCTAGCCCTTCTTTCTTCCTCCCTTCCCCTTTCAGAGGCGATGAACTGGTGGAGGTAGACGGCGACGGCGGCGGCGGCGGAGAGGATGGCGCCATTTTTTTCTTGGTGAATTGTGGTTCTCTGACCTTATTCTACGCAGCGTCACAATTACGGCAACTCCTTCGATTGAGCTTGAGAGTTTTGAGTTTTAGTAATGGAGTCGGGGAGTGTCTGACAAGGAAAAGGGTCACAGTGTGGGAGAAGAAGACGAGAAATTTTTCGCTGGCGCTGGCACGTGCGACCGTGCCGTGAATTTTCAATTTTGCGATCTCCGGGAATTCTCCTTGTCTCATGCGCAAATTACTTGATGGTCATTACAGTTTACTGTATACCCAATTTTGATCCATCGTTTTTGAAACACACACGATTTGGTTAACCTATAATATATTTTTGTGGTTATTGGTTTGGTTGTAGTTAGCAATATTGTGAGTCTTGTGATTGGTATTTATTAATCACTAACTGTAATGACTAAATCACAATAATCATAAAAATTGTATTAGACGGGGAATTTTTATTTATTTGCATTTTAGTAATAGGTAGAATTTTTATTCATTTTTTTGAATAAAATAATTAAAAATGAATTTCTGAAAGAAAAAAAAAAATAGTAATAGGTGGAAAATATAAAAAAAATTCAAGTGAAGGGTGTTGATTTGACAGTGGTGTGACACGTTGACCGTTAGTTAACGCATTTGACCGTCCAAGATAAGGGTCAATTTTCGGGTTTGGCCAATTTCGCTACTTTGGTGTATAGTTCAAGCAATGATATTATAGATCAAAAAGATTGGGCGGATGTTTACTATGTGAAAAATTTCGGCCATACAAAGATATTACCTAGATTTAAATAATAAGTAATCCCTACCGAAGAAGATCAAGCAATCAAGACAAGCACTATGATGTAACTTAAAGGTATCCCTTTCACAAAGCAACGGAAATATCTCTAAGACTGTTCTGTATTTGTCTACAAAATGAATGTGGAGAAGTCACTTCCCTGTTTTATTTAGCTACTCTGCCCCTCATCAGTTGATCTCTCCGCCTGTAAAGTCCAGGAAGGAGAACTCTAACAATATGTCGATTATTGAATGGGGAAAAAATGGAGTATCAATCGTCACTCACTGTGCAAGTGACAAAAGAAGAAGAAAAAATGAATCCCAAGATTAAACAATCAGTTTGCTCAAGGGAATCCAGAAAGGAAACTCCTCAAGAACTCTATCAGTCAGTAGGTCCAATCATTTTCTCAGGTACCACAAGGGTATCAAACTCCTCACTTGTCAGGACTCCGAGTTTCAGAGCCGCTTCCTGCAGGGCATACAAATAAGTCATTATGCAACGAGGGCTAATAAGAAACTGGAGAAAAGCATTTGATGACTGAGTAAATCACCTTCAGGGTGCTTCCTTCCTTGTGGGCAAGCTTGGCGACTGCAGCAGCATTGTCGTAACCAATTTTCTGCAGGTTTATCGCACGTGTCAGGATCAAGCGCGAAACAGCAGATGGTGTGTGAATGTCAAAATGTTTAAAGGTAAGGAGCTTACAGGATTCAATGAGGTAACCAGCATTAGTGACTGAAATCCCATGCAAAATTCACGTAGAAAGGGGATTCATTAGCAACAGAATCGATCATATTAGGGGTGAATTCATACATTTTTCTTAACGACACTTGGATGCTGAGATAACTAACCTCGTGCAACAACTTTGAGATACGCTCCTTATTTGCTTGAATTCCCCTCACACAGTTCTTTTCGAAAGAAGCAGATGCGTCCCCAAGTAGTCTTGCAGACTTTTGACAATGGATGAAAAACCGGATCAGTAAGAAAACAATCCACAGATCTTATAGCATAAAATAGCAAAATAAACAACAAAGAAGGCTTTGTGGTTCCGTTGTAGTTGATTGCAAATTCTGAGTACAATATCATAACACACATTTGTCATTTGACATCTAGTATATTTTACTAGCTTGGCCAATACTTCCAAGAATTGTTGTGACCTATCGTTCCAGTACTCTTATTAACAATTTCTCGAGAAGCAGCAACATAAACCAAGAATGGAAAACAAACGAAAGATAGAAGTGAGCCAATGTTTAAAATGCCAAATTGCAGTACGGAACCAGATAATTTGGAACTTTGTTTAAAAGATAGAATGTGAGATAATTAGAACATACATGTAGGAGGCAACTTGCAATCATTGGCTTGAATACATTTAATTCAAAGTGACCATTTGATCCACCCACGGTGATGGCCACATTATTTCCCATAACCTACAAAAACAAAATCAGAAGAGCAACCATGCGAGTAAGTTGTGAAAGCCCTGGCAGTTGCTTTTGAGGCCAACCCCACCTTGCAGACAATCAGAAAACTGCAGGAATTACATGACTACTAGTAACTGGAAAAAGAGTTCTTCAGTGAACAATCAAAATTTACCTGAGCACAGACCATCGTAAGTGCCTCACACTGAGTGGGATTAACCTTCCCCTGGAAAAACAAAATTTATACCTTAGTAAGAAGAATAGCCTAAGGGAATGACAAAAACTAAGAGAGTGACAACGAGAAGATGCTTCAAAGACATAAAATAATCATAATACCGGCATAATGCTGCTGCCAGGCTCATTTTCTGGAAGAATGAGCTCACCCAGACCACATCTTGGACCACTGATTAAAGGAACAAACCAATATCAATCACAAAACTAAGAACCAAGGTTGGGAATAGAAAAGTTGGAGATAGGCACTACTGGTAATATACCCACCTTCCTAACAATCTTATGTCATTGGCAATCTTCATCAAAGAAGTAGCGATTGTATTCAGAGCTCCACTACATTCAACAAAGGCATCATGTGCAGCCTGACAAACATGAAGTCTTTCAGCACAAAATATTGTGGTGTGCATCTTAAGATAACTCAAGTATACAAACAGAAAAAACAGGAGAAAAAGAAATATAAAGCTGCAGCAAAATAACAAACCAACCAGAGCTTCAAACTTGTTTTCTGCAGTGACAAATGGTAGGTTTGTCTCCTCGGCTACTGCTCTGGCAATCTTCACGTCAAACCTACGTGCATGTTACAAAATAGTACTTATCAAGGAAAAGCAGCACGCACAAGTAGTTATGATATGTATGCACATGCCTAATGTCTGTACTGCAGTAAGACCATTTTTAAGAAGGAATAAGCCATATAATCTCAAAAACATTAAACAAAAATGAGGATAGCTATCATTTTCCCCGGTCGAGTATCGAGAAAACAATACGCAGTGCTGGATATCATGGACATGCATGAATTTCCTTTGTGACCCAAAAATTACATCACAAGCAAGCAAAGCAGTGACAAGACTGGGTTCCCCTATCAGTTATTCAGTTATAGTATTTAAATTTCCTTGTTTGAGGTTTTAATAGTTTTTCTTATTTAAATGAAAGACTTTAGTGGCAATAGGGGGATAATCATTGTTCTGCACAATGGAGTTCCTACCGGTTTCTCATAAGAAAAAGGTATGCTTGGAGTTAAGTTTGTAATGAGGGAAGGAAGGAAAACCCCAAAAACACTATCCCTGTTCCCTTATGATTTCTTCAGAACCACAGAAGCACTACCCCAAGTCAAAAACTATATTTTAATATAATAGTAGGCCATCCTCGAATGATGCTTGCCACTGGAAATTTAGTTACATCCTGAAAACAAAGTATGATAAGAGCACAACACAAGATAGACCTCAACTCTTTTATTTATTTATTTTGTTCATTCTATCCCCTTGCCAAAGCAACTAGAAAATAAAGCTTACCCTTTCTTAGTATTCAATCCAGTCCCCACTGCTGTTCCCCCTTGTGCTAGCTGCCATGCATCCAAGTTAGCATTCTCCATGCAAAATGGGAAGTAGCAACAAAAATTGAACAATTTCTCCAGCCAACCTGATATATATGAGGCAGAGTGCAGGAGACGCGATCAATTCCATACTTCACCTGGAATCAATGCATAACCAATAAGATATGATTATTTGATACTGGGGTTGGGGGTAACAAAGACATGAAACATAATGGATAAAAAGATCTCACTTGAGTGGTATAGCCGCTAAACTCTTGGCCAAGTGTCAGAGGTGTTGCATCTTGAGTATGAGTACGGCCAATTTTAACAATGTCCTTAAATTCAATAGACTGATGACAGAAATTCGTAAACAAGTGAGACAAAATATGAGTATTAGCCGAAGAACTCTTGCTAAACAAATAAATTTCATTTTTTGCAAAACGTGAAGAAAAAAAAACAGACTTAGAAATTAGAACATAGGCAGCTCCAAAGTCTGTGAGATCCAACCAAGTCTACAATGGACAACAAATTGCAATATGGATTTATAAGAAAAACAGGCTTGAGCTAAGGTAGCATTAACATCGTCACTGTCCGTTGATACCATAAGGTAATAATGCATGGGGAAAAAGTCTAGAAATATTTAGGCATCAGATGCTGAATTGTGTATCACCAGACTGTGAGCTACTCCCAATGGTTGTCTAAATCACATACATGTGCAAATAGAGAAGGCTTATATTTGTGAGTTTAGGAGCCGAAACTGGATGCAAGAACAAATAAAAAATATTCAACAATTGCATTCAGTGGTGCAGTCACCTTTGAATGAAGGGTTGAGTGCAAAGTATTCAATTTCGGAATTAATCTCGAGTTTATCTCCATTCCGGCAGCAATATGCATCACCTGCAAAAATGAAAAACAACAAATAGAAAAGAAGTATTAAAACCTCATGAAGGAATGCACGTTTTCACTTAGTTGTCATGTGATCCAATACGAGAAGGATCTGAAAAGGTAAATTATATTGTTTACCGTTGGAAAAGTGTCATTAGAAGATTGAGCTCTATTGACGTGGTCATTTGGGTGCACATACTTTTCACCACGCTTATGGCCAAGGATCTCAGCAGCTCGATTGGCAATAACCTGGAAGTTTGTTTGTGAGCACTAACAACTAAGACCAACATAAAGAATATGAACTAGAAAATACTTAATAACAAGCTGTTGTAGTGTATGAACTACTTCAATGGAGAACCCCATTTTCATTATTTGAACATGGTTTGCAACATTCTAAGCCATTGTCTCCCTTTTCTGTGCTCGAATACATGATTTACGATGAACATAAGAGGATATTTTTGTTTTAGATGAACATAAAAAGCCATGACTCATGTGTAATGAAGACAATAGCATGGTTATGATCTGGCACTCAAAGATCACCCTATGATAGATATTCTACTCAATAACACAACTGAGATGAAATTCTTGCATGTTTTCTGCATTAGTTGAAGACTAGACAACCAGAGAATTGAGATCTCAACTTTGACACCTTCAAGACGCACTGTTCAGTGGATGATATATATTGAAAGAACAGCTGGTTCTTATAGAAAACCAAACCAGAACACAAACTCACTTCGTATTTTAATTACAAAATCCCAATGCAATGTTTCAGGAATATTAGTCAAACCAATCATGAAACAACGACATCCTACCGAGTACACGTGTAAACTGGGAGTACAACAAAGCAAATTGCTTTCAACAAATTTCTGAACTTTCTTTGAGAAAATATAGCACAATAGTAGGTCACAGCAAGACCTATTTGCTAGGAGAAAAGGAATGTGATCATGCTCCACCTTTGACAATCCTGCAATATATCAAAGGCTCCACTCTCATGAAAAGTTTTAGACTTACTTCTCCCTTAAACTAACCTTGAAAGAGAAAATTGGAAAATGACGTTTAATTATGAATGGCAATGTTTCTTGACTATGCTGTAATTCCAGTATGCCACTATGAACCAGTTTAGGCCTGTTATTTCCTCATCATCTCCATCGTCCACAAAACAACAACCATAATACTGACCTCATTAGCATTCATGTTACTTTGAGTCCCACTGCCAGTTTGCCACACAACAAGAGGAAAATGATCATTTAGCTTTCCCTCAGCGACTTCTTGGGCAGCTTGCATGATGGCCTTACCAATTGCTGGATCAAGGCCATACTCCATGTTCACCTACAATAAACAATCCATATTAGAGTAATCGTCTTAGCTATAACAAGTACATTTCCGAAACCTGATCCCATGTTCTAACAAAAGCAAGGCTAAAGATAATGGGAAAAGCTCTTACAAGCTACACGGCTATTTGATATATTCAAAGTCTGAAGAAAGGTAGCTGTTAGGTGAAACAGAAAAATAAGTTCACCTTTGCAGCACATTTCTTCAGGATGCCAAAAGCACGAACTATTGGCTCTGGCATTCTCTCTCGCTCACCACCAATATCGAAATTCTGCAATGATCTCTGAGTTTGTGCACCCCACAATCTGCCCATAATGCAGAGAACCAGTGAACATCCAGCAACCATTACAAGCACAAAATCAGAAACACTATAAAGGACAAGGAAAGAAGACATTGGAAAGGGGCAAATGAGAACTAACTTATCAGATGGAACTTGAATAGGTCCAAAAGTGTCTCGCTCTTCCCTGAAGGAAGTTGAATATGATCTCCATAGAGTAGCACAACGGACCACTGATGGAGATGACTCGCCAAGTTGTGAAGTGATCCACCCAAGTGACCGGCGCCGAGCAACTACATACGCTGCCATTTTCGAGGATTGACTTCACCTCAAACAAGCTACCTGGGTATAAAAGAGAAATAAACAATTCAAGCGAATAATAAGACAGTCCAATTTCAACAAAACTAAGATGGAATGGGATCCCATGACTAAAGGAGCCTTAGTGATAGAACCCACCAAACGGAGCTCTATCTAGGGATTTGGAATTAGGGGTCAATGAGAGGATGACCCGCTAACTTGAATTGCAAGGAGGAAGGGCAAGAAGGAAGTTTGGGGAATTTGAGAGGGAGGAAGCAGAAGCTGCTCGGCAGCCAAGAGAGAAGAGGGAAGGGAGGGTCGGCCGAAGGAGAGAGTGAAGATTAGGTTTTTTGAAAAAGAACTTATATCACCCCAGCCTAGTTACAGAGCATTGAAAAAAAAGGACAAGTTGCAGCTTTGCCGAAGCCAAGCAGTACATAAGCAAACCAGGAAATCAAAACCCCTATTATTCAACAGAAAAAGAACAGTAATTGTTCCCCATAGCCAACAAAAGTACATCAGAAACTGAACAAACAGCTAACGCAAACAAGAAACTGAAAGGAACATCTCGCAAAATTAATCAGACATCAGCAGCCTTCATCAGATCACAGCTACCAACATCACATTACCGGGAGAGAAAAAAAGCTAGAAACCAAAGGGCCATTAGAGCACCTTATCAACACCAGAAACTTATAAACATTCATCAAACATCCCTCGCTAAACCTTCCAACAACCTTCCAGCGCATCAAACAAGCAGCAGCCATACTAACACGAGTGGATGGACACCACTTAGAAGCCACCACGCAGACGCAGGACATCTATTTACCGACCCGAAATCGAAATCAAGACAGATCTGGCAATTTTCCCTCTAGGTAGTTTCAATTGGTTTTCTGGGTACGATTGGGGAAAAATGGGGGAGTTGGGCGATCCATACCTAATATCTTGAGTCTTGACACCGGCAGCGTTGAAGCAAGAGTTGCAGCGAGGAGGGCAGCGATGTTTGGTTTCCTGCGGCAAGCTACAGTTCAGCGAAAACGAAAGGAGAGTGAGAGAAAAGGAAAGAGGCAAAGGCGGCGACACTCGTCGGCCGACGGGATGTATTCGACGAGGGGGGTTTCGGCTTTCGGGGAGGTGGAATTTTTATTCTATTCTCTCCTTTTTTCCATTGGTTTCTTCCGTTTCGCTTTCTTATTGGCACGCTTGCCTAGAAAAGTTGACGAATGACGATGCATATTGGGAGTTTTCTAAATATAGACTATAACTTTTTTTCCAAGTTGACCAAAAATTCCAAATTTCTCAATAGTCCAGTTTGTTTATTGGTTGTAGCCCAAACAATTTTGTCCATTTTATCGCTAGAGTTGGAAATCGGTATGATATGGATGTCACAATACCAAATACTGAATTATACACTAAAATCAATCTTAATTCTAATCTCTAAATAATTTTGGTATCACAATCACAATTCCTAAATATTTCGGTATTCTAGTCGGTATTTTGGTATCCCAATTGATATTATCGAATACGAAACTAGTTACCATTATAATTAATAATTAAATATAAAAATTTAATTAATTATTTAATTTAAGGCAAAGAGACTAAGCAAAGAGTCTTGAGTTTGTCTGGAGCTAGGACACGGATAAGGAGAAGGGAGGAGAGCTAACATCTCAAGTTCTTGTCATTGGTAATCTTTAATTCGACGAATTAGAGGCTAAGAGACGACTAATACTAGTGTTTGTTATTTGGTGTTATTGAAATAACAAGAGATTAAGTGAGAGTTGAGAGTGACTTAAATTGGGAAGCCAAAATTGAGTTGGATGGGGACTTGTGAGCTGTGAGTTGTGAAAGAGTGGGGAATGGCCAAGGTTGCTAAACCCGTGATATGCTGGTCAGTTCAACCGGTATGAATCCCTAAACAAAACGACATCTTTTGATGAAATTAAGTAAAATTTGTATTTAAATATGATACAATTTTCATTTTGTTTGTAATGTTGTATTTTTATTCAAATATAAATGTTGATATAATTTATTGGATTCAAACATAATTATTAGTATGTTGTTTATATGTTTTTTTTTTCATTTTTGTTTGTTAATTATATGCCTAATTATTTTGCCATTCCTAGTTTTCCATTTTTTATATATTCTGTTAAATCCGAGATAAAACGACATATACAAGTTGTATCCCGATCAAAACTTACCACTCTCTAAATCATTGTAATGGTATAAATCGGTTTGACAACTTTGATTTAAAGAGTCATTGAAACCTCTATATGCTTGCTCCAAACGCACACTTCAAAATTTCGGGAGCGAATTCGATCAATAACCTGGTAGGTAATTACATATCATGCATAATATCTTTCAATTAAATATAATAGACTATATATCTTTTGTTTTAACCATGTTCTTTAAAATGATATCTAATTTTATATATTTTGGAACAAAACAAATTGAACATGTATTACCATTTTCCAATATATACCCGGGTGATAGTGCTTCATAGACATTAGATTATATCATGCTGGTATGAAAGTGTACTATGGTGGTATGAATATTATCATACCGTAGCTAGGATGATTGTATACACGATAACATAAATATAATAGTAATCATTAACACCTTTCACAACCGTTTATCACTAGTTATCATCCTATACCAGTGTGGTATATTTGGTCATTAATTTATTTTCCCAAAAATTTATAGATACGATAAACTCGTTCCGTATAGACAAATTTTTTGAAATTTAAGTTAAAAAATCAATTTGGTACGGAAAAAAATTTCTCCAAATATAACGAGATGTATATCGTAATAAACTATTTTTGAAGATGCTATATATGCAGTATCGAGGAAGCTTGTCAATTAAGTTCATTCAAATTTACTAACATAACTTTCATACAAGTCAATGGCATCCATTAGGTTACAATAACAAGCGCTCATAAGCTGTTCATATTTGTGGCGACGATTGGACTTTGGACAACATGGTTGCCTCCACCGACCTCAATCCACCTGAGGTAGCCCAACTTCAGAAATGGGTTCCTCATCTTCTTCATAGCATATTCAATCACAAGCTTAAAACCCAACATGTCCCCCTTAGCTTTAAACGCCAGCACTGTCGGTACCACTCTGACCTCCAGCCCATCAAACGACGTGACAGAAGCTTTGTACGTCGCCATTTCGCACCCCACATTGGTCAGCGTCCTCCGAAACTCCAGAACTTGGTTCGAACGATCCGCGGCAAAATTCGCGATGAACGAAGGGTAGTTCAGATCCAGAGAAGGGGTGGCGCAAATGTTGTTGCAGCTGCCGGTGGAGTGATGAGACCTTGTGATGGCTCTGATTTGGGCGGTGGTGAAGTTCATCGCACAAAGGAGGTTCACGTAATCAGAAGAATTGAGATCGTACACCAAGCCTGGTTCCAGCGCCTTGTTTGGGCTGACTTGGCCCGCTCCCATGTCGAAGCCTGTGGTTGGGCTTTGGTCCGGGCCGGAATCCTGGATCGGCTGGCCGGAGTGGTCCACTGCATCAGATGTTGTCATCATTGCGGACCTGATCGCAGCTGGGCTCCAATCAGGGTGGGCCTTCTTGATTAGGGTCGCGACTCCATCTAGGTGGGGGCAAGCCATTGAGGTACCCGTTAAGAGATTGAAGCTGGTGTACAGATCCTGGAAGTAGCTCGACTGGGCCTGCACGTGGACCGGCCAAGTTGTCAGGATACGAAAGCCCGGGCCCATAATGTCGGGCTTGAGCACGGATGGGAAGGTCGGCGATGGGCCTCTTGAGCTGAACTCGGTGACGGTTGGTGCGGGTTTCGCGTCCAGCTTTGTGATCTCGAACTTGAGCCTTGCCGTCGGTCGGGTGTTGCAGACCAACCAATTTTGATACAATATCATAAACCAACCGGTTCCAATAACTCGAGTTGTTGACAACCACTTTCTTACCCCGTTTGCAGCCGCTCCCTTGAGCGTCCCATGAGCGTAGCCGAAAAATGAGGCGCCTCCAACGAATCTCCCGCCGGCGATGACGGAGGTGTTGATTGTGACGGTGACGTTTATGGCGACGAGGCCTCGGGTAAGGGCACGAGTTCCGATGATGAGTTTTTTGTTGCGTTGAATTGCGTGCCGTTCTCGCATTCCCCTCTCCCATCTTGCCGGCGGCGGCACTGGATCCATCTCGTGGTCGTCGAAGCTCCGGGCCACACTCCGGTGAAGATGATTAGGCCTTCGCCATAATTGGATGCCTCTCCACGCTCCAGAGCTATCAGTGAGCCGTAAGAATTTTGGTGGAGTGGGAATAATTGCTGTAAATCAGGTTGGAGGAAGGTGTGAGAGCAGGGCCAGGAGCAGCAATTTGCTGAGTCCAGGGAGGAAAGAAATGGCTAGATACCAGTGGTATGGAGGAGAGAAGACGATTCAAGCAAGGAATTATGAACACAGAGAGATAGGCAGACAAGCATTGGTTAAGGACATTGGGGGAAATGGAAGTGGGCGTGGATTTATACCGGAGAGAAATTTGAATATATCATAAAAGTTTTGTTTTTTTATTATAGATAAAAGTAAAGTTGGTTACGATACAAAACGAAAGTTGAGTGATGCAGCTACCGAAAAAGGAGGACATGCAAATCGTGTGAAAATATGGTGATGTAAGAAATTAGTTGGCTTTGTAGGTAGTGAGTATACATCTGATGTGAACGAACTACTTCCCAAAGAAGTACGTGCAAATGCCAAATAGTGTGAACTGTGATGCAAAGGTGAAATCGTTCGTAGCGATAAATAATATTGTATATCGTTAATAATTGACATCGACAATGATTTTAAAAATTTATAATAATTTATGCCAAAACGTTAATATGCAATTTGCTAGTTCATTGTTAGAGCTTATAACCATGAACTGAAAAGGCGAAATCGTTAATAATGTTATTGTAACTTAATGATAATTGTATGAAAAGGGAAGAAATTATGCTGAATATCATTAGTAGTTGTTTTGATAAACATTGAAAATAATATTATAAAGCGGCATCAATTTATCTCAAACGGTTAATAATGCAATTGCAATGACTTGTTAGATGTCATGATTGGCTAGTTATATATATATGACTCAAGACGTGAGAGTGACAATAGATATGTTGTAAATTGTTGATAGTTATATTAAACACTTAATAATAATATTATTATTGCACGACCTTAGTAGCTCATTCATAATCATTGATAGCGATAATATAAGCTGATAATAGTTGTTGTAAAACGTTATTGATGCAATTGTAAGTCGTTATAATTCATTTGCCAACATGACGTGTAAATAAGATCACATTAATAATGTTTTTCATATGACATTAATAATTATTAACATTTTGAAATGAAATATTATCCATTTACAATGTATTCAACGTTTATAAAGTGAATTATTAACGTTTTATAAACAACAATTTCGTCTAAAATACGATTTTCAGAGATAGAGGGTGATGCGGGGTGGCCAAATGAGGCACATGCATTTTTTTTTATGTACAAGGAATCGTGTTTATATTGAGTAACTACGGTTCTCTTAAAAGAATATTTATTGCAACCAACATAGATTTGAATGTATGTACATAATTTCAGGAATAATTGTGGGGCGATCGGATATTGAGTTGCTGGTAAGGGAGAAAGGGGGTCGTACTCTTATCGAGTTTTTGTATTTTCTCTTCGCCTGAGCAAATACGGCTCTTGTAGGGTTTGTGACGAGTGATGACAATAGACAACCAAGCCAGTTGTGTTTGTTTCAAGTACAAGTTGCAGACTTGCAGCGTGTTATGTGTAGTATATGTATAGTGAGTACTAGAACGGTGCGGGGTAGGGCAGGGCGGATCGTAAGTAGATACCCATGTCCTGCTCTATGCTATTGCGGGTTAGATGATTCCCGCTTCATCGTAGGTCAGGTAGGGTAATACTCGCGGAACTGTTCAAATTGCCACCATTATTTAGGACTGAATTTACCACTCTAACTATGAACTATTTCAAATTCATATCATCTATCACCAAATGTTCTAACAAAATCATTCAAACTATATCAGAAAACAAATCATACTTTTATAATTAAATTCAAGTTAGTAACTACTAATTAGACTATAACAATCCATAATGAACCACACAAAGTCGACAAGGAGACTGAGAAATGAAGAAAACGAATAAGAAATAAAATTGGTAATTCAATTTGGATTGTCTTAGTTGAAGTTAAAGTTTTTTTTCTTAATTTTTTGGTAGTTAAAATAGTGAACCATTGGATCAATAAAATCAGAGTGATTCATCTGATTTCATGTCAAACGTAAAAAAGTTTTTTGGTCCATCACATCCCGTGCAAGTTAACGAATTGCACAACTATTAAAACTAGTTTGATGATTTTACTGATGGAGTCGCTGATCCTGTTAATTTTTTTTTTTTTTTATAATTGATCCTGTTAAATTTTTTTTTCGTTGAATATCCTGTTAAATTATTATAACCATGCTTATATTTTTTTTTGTGAACAAAACAATGCTTGTAAATTATAACCCATTTTATTTTCATGAAAAGGGTAATAAAAAATAGCTATCGAAAAAGTAAATAAAAATATTCATATTTTCAAATCCCCAAACCGCGATAGTCGCACTACGCCGTTTGCTTTTTCAAATATTCATTTCATCTCAACCGTCCATCCCGCTCCTGATCTCGAATTCAAATTTCGATAAAAAGAAAGCAGTCTCATTGCATCAGACAGTGAAGTGCTCTGCTTCAGTTCAATCCAGACACCGGACGGGCAGCCGAAGAAGAAGAGAATCAGGCTAGGAGATGTGTAGCTGAGACTCAAGATCCACCGTCGTCCGTCGGATTGATTCCACCCGCTTGAGTAGTAGGAAGCATTTCGCTGACTCGATTCCTCCCGTTTCTGTTCATCCAGCCCACCGGCCACCGCCAGGTAACTCAGATTCCTTCCATTTCAGCATCGACTCCCACATTCCGGCTTTCCGCTTGCTTTCTCAACTCCTTCGTCTTTCCCTTGATTATGCGCTTCTATCAGGATGTTAAGGGATTTCAAATTCCTGCGCCGGAATTCCTGCAAGAACAGCGAGGAAATAGAGAATGTGCCTCTAAACCCTAGGGATTCGCTGTCGAGCCAGGCTAGCTCGGAATTGACCTCTAGACCTCCACTGAACACTATCCAAGATCCCTCCCAGCAAGAGGTGGCCGGTCGAAGCAAGATAGAACGAACTCCAACAAAGCCTAAATCGAAAGCCTCCGAATCCACATTGCCGCCTCTTCGCACGCCGGAGAGGAAGTACCGATTCGGGTGGCCTCATCGGAACGATTCAAGCATGATTCCAGGAGAAGTGAGGGACGATGCCAGGACTGATGTGAAGGACCATACCTTGGCGAGAGTGGGGTTACCTACTGCAACTCCGAGGTCTGTCAGGACTGTTGGGAGGGATACGTCGAGTTACTCTGAATGTACTTCCACACGAACCACGCCGACGAAGAGCGTCTCGAAGCCTCCTAGTTCGGCTTACAGGAGTAAGCTGGACGCGAATGGCGGAGCTGGACGCACGGGCAACATTGGTGCTTTGTACAGAGGTGTACCGGTGGCTGGTTCTTCGACTCCAGCTGTTGTTAATACAGTTGAAGTTCCGCATTTTGACCTGAAAGAGGATCCATCGTTCTGGATGGATCATAATGTACAGGTACTATAGTTTTTAGCGATAGTTGACTAGACAGATAGATTTCATGTGTGGATGTAATTGTACATTCAGTAGATACGGTTTGCCATCTCCATATTGTAATTGGATGTCCTTGTGGTTAATGCTAAATATTGGAATTTACTCAGGTTCTTGTACGGGTACGGCCTGTAAATAGCATGGAGAGGAGCACACAAGGGTACAATAGGTGTTTGAAACAAGAGAGTGCTCAGACCATTACTTGGATTGGGCAGCCAGAATCTCGGTTCACATTCGACCATGTTGCTTGTGAGACAGTTGACCAGGTAAGGTTTGAGTTTAAAAGAGGTGACAAAAGTTTAGCTGATGGATTTGGCGAGTTAAGAGGGTGTTCAATGCCCACATTGCAGGAAATGCTGTTTCGGATGGCTGGTCTTCCAATGGTGGAGAATTGCTTGTCTGGCTACAATAGTTGCATCTTCGCTTATGGCCAGGTAATTTTCAAACGACATGCTCTAGCGTGTCGTAAGGGTGTGAAGTGTATGCACCGGCTTCATGAAATCCATGAAAAAAGTCTCCAATTTTGTTTTAGTTCCTTCTATCTTGGTTTTCAAGCTTTCCGTATAACCGGATATCAAAGAGAAATATAGCATTCCTTTTTATCAGACAAGTTTATCAACACTGAACTCCCCTCATGACAAGACATTTACATTTGTTTGCAATGGCAGTAATGGCACTACACATATTTATTAACGGATTTCATAATACAGGCTGATCATTTTATGTTTACTCATACTATGGTTACCAGAAAATCCTTTTGCATCTTTCTTGTTTGACATCAAAATAGATGGTGTCAAGTATTCATATGATCTGATGAAGTTTTTATCTTGCAGACTGGAAGTGGAAAAACATTCACAATGCTTGGTGAAATAGATGGTCTGGAAGTAAAACCCAGCGTACAACGTGGAATGACACCGAGGATTTTCGAGTTCTTATTTGCAAGGATCCAAGCTGTAACTTCTCTCCCATCTATCCCGACTTTATATTCTTGTCACTCAGCACATGCATATAAGAAAATAAGTAGCATCAGTAATACTAGTCCATGAAAAACACAAGCGTTTCCTTGTTGTAGGTGTCGATGATTGGCCAAGTCAAATATAGAGTCATGTTACCTTTTTCCCCATTTTTTTAGTGCTGAATTTGCATGTATCTTGCATAGGAAGAGGAAAGCCG